TCTCGTCTGACAAGCTTGAGCGTAGGAGGGGTTTGCTCCCGCCTTTCCAGCCCCCCATTTCTGTGGTCCGGGTGCCTCTTGCCCCTTTTCCATCTCCCGCTCTCTCGCGGGCTCAATCCGCTTTTCGTGAGGGCCCTGCGTCGCTGCACACCTCAAACCCGCGGCTGAGCTCGGCGGGCTACCGCCCAACCTCAGCCACCGCACACACCCACGCGCAGCCACCATGCAGCAGGAGGGCCTTGCTGCCCTTCAACTGGGGGCGCTGGATGCCCCCAGGCCCTACCAGTCCGCCCGGAAGGGGCCCGCCTGCGCCGTGTGCCAGTGCAGCCTCCGCGACGCCCGAGTCTTCCACCAGGTGGGAGCTGCGGCGGGCCCCGCTGCTGGCTGGTCCCGTGGGAGGGCGGGCAGTGGTTGGGAGGGGAGCGCCGGTGGCGCTGGTACCCGGTGCGCGGTACTTGGCCGCCACAGCGTCTGCCGCCAGGGAGCTGCGGGCCGCCTTTCGCTGCGCGCCGCGGGTTTGGGTGCATGGGGTGCTGGGCGCCAGCCTCAGGGTGACAGGGACCAACGCTGGCGCTGCGCTGCGCCGGGGACCTCGGGATGGGGCGGCAGTACTGCCTCACCCAACCACCCCCCGGCCGCCATTGGATCGGGGGCCGCCCCCGCGCCGCCATGCACCAGCGGTGCCGCACATAGCTGCCCGCCGCACCGCCTGCCGGCCGACCCGCCTGCCCACCACGGCAGCACTTGGGCCAGGCTGCGGGGGGCTGTAGGGAGGGCTGTGGTGGGCTGCCGGCTGCCCACTCTCTGACCCCTGCCCTCCCGCCTGCCCTGACCCCTGCCCACTTCCCGCCCTCCCCACCCCTGCCTGCCTCCGCTCCAGCGCTACCACGTGTGCCCAGAGCACGCCACAGCCGACCAAGTCGTGTTGCACGGCGTACTGCAACGCTTCTGCCAGCAGGTGCAGCTGCACGAGGGCTAGGGCTAGCCCGCTTTGGAAAGAAACCGCTGCTCCCCGGCCTGCGCGCTGGCTGCAGCTGCCTGCACCGCGCCTGCTTTGTGGCCGCTGCGCGGCGGCTTCATGGGACCAGGGCCCAGCGGGCAGTCTGTTTGGACAGCCGCCGGCGTGCACCCTCGTCCTGCCCTCACCCTGCCCTCACCCACACTCTTGTGTGCCTCCCTCCTGCCCCTCCTGCCTGCAGTGCGGCCGCTTCCACGAGCTCGAGCGCTTCGCCCCCAGCATGCGCTCCTGCCGCCAGCAGCTGGCGCGGCACGCCGAGCGGCGGCGCCACCGCCGCGCAGTGGCGGCGGCGGCCAAGGCCGCCGCCCGCACGGCGCCGCCCAGCGGCGCCCACCTCTCAGGTAGGCTGCCAAGGGATGGAGGCGGCTCCCCGGCTGCTGCTGCCCCCGCCGCTTGCTGCTGCCACTGCCGCTGTGTTGCCGTGCGGCCTGCGGTGCCTGCAACTCCACGCACCCTTAACACAGGTGCAGCCGCGCACTGTTGGGCCGTGCCCGTGACCGCTTGCCGGCCTGCCTGCCCCTGCCCTGCCCCCTGCAGCCCCCGGCGGTGCTGTGATGCCAGCCCCGCCCACGGCGGCCGCCCCCGGCAGCGGCCTGCCGCTGCCAGACGCCAAGCGGCCTCGCCTCGAGGGCCCCGAGGCTCAGCTGGCGGCGCTGCTGCAGCAGCAGGCGGCGGCGGCTGGCGTGAAGCTGGAGCAGGCCGATGCGGGCGGCACGGGCAGCGGCAGGCAGCAGGACGGCAGCTGCGCCAGCGTGCAGAGCACGCACAGCACGCACATCAACAACACTGCCGACGGACTGGACGCGCTGCTGGCGGCGGCGCAGGAGGAAGAGCAGGAGGTGGGGCAGCAGGCGCGGGCCGCGGCCGCCGCCACCAAGCCCGCCAAGCCCGCCGCAGCGGCCTGGCCGCCCGCCGCCGCGCCGCCGCCCGCGCCGCCGCCGCCGCCGCCGCAGTGGGCGCCGACGGCGCCGGCGCTGCCGCCGCTGCCGCTGCCCGAGACGTGGCAGCCGGCGCAGCCGGCCTGGCAGCAGCAGCAGTGGGACCAGCCGCGCTTCCCTCCGGCGTGGGAGGCGCCGCCGGCGCTGGCGCAGGCGCAGGCGCAGGCGCAGGCGGGGTGGGAGCTGCCGCACTTTCCACCCGCCTGGGAGGTGCCGCAGGTGCAGTCCCATCCTGTGTGGGAGCCTACAGCCCCCCAACCGCTGTGGCAGGACGCCCAGCCGCAGCCGCAGC